TTAAGGTACCTTGAAAAATAGCCTTGACCATAAGTTTCAAAAAGAAAATAATAAAACTAAATAGCTAGAAAGCTAAATAAACTAATGCAAAACCTCTACTTTTTTTTGTATATATTATCCCTTAAACCTTTGGCTTGTGACATCTACTGAATTACTGGGCAACCCGTCGTCCTTTTGAGAAATCAAGAGCCAGCCAACTCGGGCAAATATAGCAATGAAAGGCAGATAGCTCCTAAATGCTGCTCATTCGTGCTGCCAAACAAACAAGTTGAGAGCTGGCGAAGGGGCGTGGCAAGGGCGGGAGACATATGCAAATGGCCAGACTCATCCTTCCGACCCAAAACTCCACGTTCTGGGCCAACTTAAGTGGTCTCAGCTCGGCAGCGATGCGATGCCTACGACGATATGATATGATTATGTTAAATGCCCGTTTTGTTTGCTCACATCCACTGACTTACAAAAAAGAGAGATGGCAGGGAATTGGTCATTGGGCAGCTGTATGTGGTAGTGGTTGTTTTCGTTGTCGTCGTCATGGTGCCTTAACTGATTTTTCATTCCATGGACAAAAAGGAGCAGCCTCGCTTAGCAGCAGCGTGTCTGCTTGCGTTCGGTTCGGTTTCAAGTTGACGATTTCATAATTCAATTTACAAGATAAGAGCCCAGAAGCCAGGGAGCCCAGGAGCGCAACCAGAACCAGAATAAAAATCCAAATCAGAATCCGCATCAGAATCATACCCATGCAGATCCGGCCAACCAACAAGCGGCCACCGTTTGTGGGGCGTGTTGTCAAAAGAAGACAACAAGCCAGAAACCAGCCAGCAGTGGCCAAAACATAAACAAAACATTCGGGATGAATACCAAAAACTAAAAAAAAGCATATTGAAAAACCTTTTAATTAATTATGCATCAGCGATTGTGTTTAAATAAAACGAAGCTCGGTCACAACATTCGAGAGGGAGATTTTCGTTTGTTTGCTTTTTTCGATGGAGGGCAGGGATAACAAAAAACAGATCAGCAGCTGCCAGTGACATACGCGCATTACGCATACGCCAGGATGAACAGCATTCAGATTACTTTGTCTGGATAAATATGATTAATCTGCCCTATCCGATCAGCTTTGTTTGCTTGGCCCGATTACTGCTTGATTTGTGATCTTAATAATGTGTTTATAATTCAAATGGTGGTCGATGGTTGGAGAAATTATTAATAGAGTTTTATTCACCATTAAATAAAAAGGGCATTAAATAATGTTGGTAGGCATCAGGAAACATATAGCTTTTTTGTTTAATGGATGTACATATATTTTAATGTTATTCAAATATTTATTTAATAAATCTAAACCATACCTTTCCCAGTAATTGTCAGGTTCTTAAACGGAATACCATCAAAAATCAATTCTCCATATGATAATATTACCTCCAATAAATATTCGATTCTTGAGCGGAATACCTTAAACTATTCGTAGATCGATTCTGCATCTTTCTGCATCAAAATCTAAGAACTAAACAATTTTTGAATTTGTTTCCAATTTTTCTGAAGGATCCCCTTTGAAAATCAACAATAATGCATGGAGCCTCAATATGGCCCCCAGCGATGGCTGTATCTTTCCCAAATATTTTCCGATTCATGAGCGGAATACCTTAAACTAATCGTAGATCGATTCTGCATCTTTCTGCATCAAAATCGCTTAACTAAAAATTTTGGAAATTTTTGGCAATTTTTCTGAAGGATCCCCTTTGAAAATAAACAATAACGCATGGAGCCTCAATATGGTCCACATCGATGGCTGTATCTTTCCCAAATATTGTCCGATTCTTGAGCGGAATACCTTAAACTAATCGTAGATCGATTTTGCATCTTTCTGCATCAAAATCTAAGAACTGAAAAATTTTTGAATTTTTTGACAATTTTTTTGAAGGAAGCCCTTTGAAAATCAACAATAATGCATGGAGCCTCAATATGGCCCACATCGATGGCTGTATCTTTCCCAATCATTATCCGATTCTTTAGCGGAATACCTTAAACTAATCGTAGATCGATTCTGCATCAAAATCTAAGAACTACTTTTTTTTTGAATTTTTTTTCCAATTTTTCATAGTACATATAAGGCTGGGAATATGGCGGTAACATTTTTCTGGGTGAGTGTACCAATCTTCATATATGCATGTTTTTCAAAATATAAATTTTAATCTGTTCACCACATCTTGAATTTTTCTTTGGGAAGACCCTTTAACATTTGCCAGATTTCAAAGGCTTTTGTGTTCATTGACGGAAAAGGAGAATGAGTCTTGAATCGCTGCATTTGTCAATGGGTCGTCAGCCATGTCAGCGTACCGCTGACTTATGACACGATCGTCGGGGATCGGGGAGACAGAGAGAAGCGGATGGATCAGGAAAGGACAGTAGAGAGGGAAGAGGAGAGGTATAACTTTCCCATATGCCCACATTCGATTTGACGGATTCGGAGTTCGAATTCGGGGGTTGGGGCGCAAGTTAGAAGCCATCATAATTTAAACATGAGTGTTGGCTGCCACTGGGCTAACAATGATGTGGTTGTCGTATTGTGGTTAGGGTTGGATCGGATCGAATAGGAGGCAGGGAGAAGAGAAGCTCTGGGTCGTCCATTTGGTATCCTTATCAGCGATAGAGATGGCAGATTAATCGGCCCGATAAGAACGGGCTCTGGGATGTGGACACGATGACGAGCACGATGACGAGTGCTGGCTGGGATGATCGAATGGCGCAGAATGGTAGTGGAGTGCTGGCGATGATGACGGTAGCTCTGCCCTCCGACTCCTCGGAGTCGTCCGTCTCTTGCGACCCCTTCTCGAGGTTCTGAGTCTCTGAGTGCCTTTGCCTATGCCTTTGTTCCCCGATTTGTGTTCCTCCTCGCATTCTACGTGTATGTTTTCGGGGTTATCCCTTCCTTTCCAGCTCTTCAGCTCAACTGGACCCTGGCGAAAAGGTGTGCCTGGGTTATGCGAAATATGCGTGGCGTTGTCGATCGGATAGGATCGGATCGACTCAGATCCGATCTGAGGTGGTTCCCTGCCATTGCCCAAAGTGGTTTAGATTAAAGGGTTTAGTTCGCTCTTCTGTTTTTCTTTTTGTGTTATTTTATTTTTTGGGGCGTTATTTGCTCAGCGAGACGTGCGACTGCTTTTGACTTTGGCTCTGGGCTTTGGGCTTTATGTTTCAAAGATCGATCTGGCCGATCGGTCGGTGCACCTCATTGACCTTTCTCCAACTCGGTTTCAGTCGCTTTACCCCTTCAGTCCCAGTACCCTCCAGCTTGGACGCAGCATTTCTGTTGTGGCAGTTGAACATCTGTCGATCTTGTTTGGCGATAATTTGAATTGAGTTTTCTCTCCGAGTTGGCCAACCTTCTTCACATGTGTAAAAAGTTCATAGCATTGTCCACGTGAGTAACATGGAGGGGTTCTTTGAATTGGGCGTGTTAATAAATGGGCTCATTTTCTTCAAATGGAAGCCCCCAGAAAGGCACGAGATCTGGGAAAATCATAGGTGTTATAGTGCACTTGAGAAAATTATCAGAACTTTTAACGTATAATCTATGTACGATAATATGGAAGAAATACATGACTTGAACATTCAATTTTTATGAATTTGAATGTTTTATTGTTTAAATAAAAGAAACCTTAAATGGTTCCTATGGTTAAATCTTAAACTATTCCAAATCTAAATTAAAATTATATTTTTTCCATAGAGATTTATCTTTGTTTGAATAATTTCAAAGCAATCAAACTTTTTAGACAAATGTTAAAGGCAATATAATTTCATCTTATCGAATAAGAAGAATGCAGAAATATCTTTGGATGCACCACAAGAACGTGTCACCTAGCAAGTGGGATGCCAACCAAGGGGAGTACCAAGCGGGAGGTTGGGTAAGGGTAAGATGGTAAAGGTAGAGTAACCAATGTTCCAGAGTTCCAAGGCTCCAGCCAATCCGGCGAGCACGTTCAAGTCGTTTTCTCGCAATTAACGCGAAATTCTACGAATTGTTTAATTAGAACTCCAGTTTCAGTTCTCGGTTTTCAGAGTTCAGGTACCATCCTCGGGTCCCCAAGTTACCTGCAACTCTGCAGCCGCTGCATGTTTGTTGGGGCTTCTCGTGGCCTGTTCTTTTTTTTGTTCGGGGACTGCATAATCTTTTTTGTAAACATGAAACTCGCGCCATTATATCGAGAGCCAACGTTGGGAATGGAATGGAATGGCCCGGCAGAGGTATGAGTTCTTGGGGAGATCTTGAAAAAGACCTTGCTGTGCTTTTTACACGTTCTGCCTTTGCCTGCCTGACAGTCTTGCTGACTCGCTGCCTTAACCTGCGCCGTGTGGCTGTGATTTTGAATTTAAAATCTGTGAATTTGAAGCAGTTTATCGGCAGTGCAGCGATGCAGGCTCTGTCCTTTTATACATATATATTTTTTTTGGTTTGCAACTCCTTTGCTTAGGTGTCTGCTCTTAGTTTTCGTAGTTGTTTTTCTGGCTGATTCGCCTGCCGATTAAATCATTAAATATTCCGATTGTGTAGCGTTATAATGAAATGTTTTTAACGCTTGTCTGATTTGGAATTATGCAGGGAATTAAAGGATCTCTTACTCTGCCTCTCACGGATTTGCCAAGAGAAGGATTCTTTTTTTATGTGGAACATGTTAGTTGGTTGTCTCTGATAAACTGAGATGTTTAAGGTATTTGATGTATTAACCAGTCTGGGGATGCCAAAAGAGTACACATTGGATTTTTTTTTTTTTTTGTATATGTCTAATAAATTTTTTCATACGACAGACATATGATTTTATTATATATACATATATATTTTTTTTAGCTTGCCTTAGATTTAATTCCCTGTCTTATCTTTTGAATTTGAATTTAAATGCGCGCCATCTATCGTATTCCTCATACATACAGAAAGCTAATTGCTATAAAACGCTGCGTTATATTTTCGATCTCTAGTAAAACAGCTGATATAAAAGGCAGTCTACAAATACACGTAAGCCGATTAAGAATAAAATTCGCGTTTAGTTTAAATAACATACCAAGTGTCATATTTTGAAAGGTAACTAACTGACTTAAAAACTAAATTTTATAAAAAAAGAAATTATTAATTTGTTTACTTTATAGAAAAAATCCAAAATAGAGGAATCACTGCCTATAAATATAGAAAATGTTTATTTTGCACGCGGTCGTCTTGATCTTATCTATTAATTTTGGTTTTTTTGGAAAAGTTCAAGGAAATTCAACGTACTCCGAATTCTACTGCGAAATTTTCGAAAAAAATACAAATCTATCTTTTTCGGCCCCGCACCTATTGGAGCTCCATCTGCCAGTTTGTAGTGACCTTGGGCCCTTAAACGCCCCACATCTTAAAAGCGTGATTATAGAACATTGCTTTAGAAATACATTAAAAATTAAACATTTTAGTAGCCTCAAAAACATCAGTAGCTTACAACTTAAAAATGGAACACTCTGGTACTTGGAGGATCATGAATTTGTCAACCTGAGTAAGCTTAACATTCTTTACTTGGGAAAAAACGAAATAGTCAGTTTATCCAATGAGACTTTTAAAAATCTAACACAACTAAGATTCCTGAGTCTTCAAAACAATTACATAACGAGATTTCCTGAGAAAGTATTTCAACCACTGGAGAGTCTTCAACATTTGGATCTAAGTATAAATCAAATTACCAACCTGACAAAAGATATTTTAGCTGGAAATCGAAATCTTCGATCTTTATTTTTGAACGATAACCCCTTGATTCAGGTGGACTTTCCCGATTTTGATTTTCAAATAATAGATCTCAGCCGCTGTCTCACATTGAAAGAAGTAAAGCTCTTCTCTAAAGTTGACACCCTGATCCTGGAAAATAGTGGAGTGGAAAGCTTGATATCCAGTGAAAGGATAAACAAAATAAACGCTGCCTATGGCAAGCTGAAGGATTTGCAGCTACAAAGAAAAGATTACCTCATAGAATTGGACCTACGAGGATCTCGGTTGGGACTTACTGAAAAAAATCTAAGCGAATATTTCTGTAATATGTGGAGCCTCGAGCGCTTAGATCTGTCTAACAACTCCTTAGAAACTTTACCCCAGCAGTTCAATGCCTTCAACGAAGAAGTCTGCCTAATGCCAAGCCTGAAATACTTAAATCTTTCGGGGAATCAATTGGCCAGCTTTTCCGAGGAAACATATCTAATTGGACCACTTCTTAACGTACTGGACCTGTCACACAATCGACTCAAAACATTCACTCTGAATTCCTTATTAATGGCAGAAAAAAGTTTACAATCTTTGAATTTGGCGGAAAACCAACTCACTAGGATTGATTTTAATGTCCATTATATAATAGCTTATAGGAACCTTAAGGAATTAACTATTTATGGTAATACACTTGAAGAGGCTACTCTTTCGCAAAAAAAGCAGATCCATATTCAGGACAGAGACAGCCCAATATCTCCCAATAAAGACTGTCCCGAGAAGCCCATGCATGAATGGAGTGTATATGATATACTGATGGTTGTTTTCCTTGTCGGAGTTATTTTCTACATTAGATCCAAAGTGTATCGCCGCGAAGATAATTGCTGTTTTGGATTCAATTGGAAAAGATCCCGAAATTCAACAAACGAATCAGTCAGCTTTGTTAATCACATATCTTGAAATTTGTATGTTTTTTTTTAAATAAAGGTAAACGAAAACTTTTATTCAAGTTCTAACTCTAAATCTTTTTTTAGAAAAATATAAACAATGACTATGAAATGGAACTGATCTCACTGTGAGTCTTCTTTACGATTGTTGACATTGCATTTTCGTATCTCCAGCAACATGCGAGAATAAAGCTCTACTTTGTTGCTATCGCCAAAGCTTCCCGGGGGCTTTACATCATCCATTATCAGCCACGCTGTGGGTCCGCCCGAGACGATAAGCCCACTGGATGCAGAAATTGTATAGCTCGGTCGGTCCGCTCTCAGTGCACTTCTAGATTCTGACTAAACGAGAGCCAAATTAAATCAACGACTGCTTTCACACTTTCCATAAAGATATACATACATAGTATGTATTTCTATCTGTGTCTTTTGGGTTGCTTTTGCGGCCTGAGGATCGCAGCAGCTGCCGTTGTTCTCGATGCCCTCGGAAGGTTAAACCTGAGTGCCACCTGTCCGGACACCTTTTGCAGTTTGACGGAGAAACCGATGCCATACTCCGATACGCCAGCATTGCAATTACGGGAACTCCATCTCAGCAACTGCAGTCGCGAGTCCGTGCCATGGATACTGCTGAATCTGACGCCCGGATTGCGGACCCTGGTCATCCGGAATTGTGGATCTTATGGCATCAGCAAGGAGAGTCTTATGCCGGTGGTTAATCTCACCTCCCTACAAATGCAGCGCACGAATCTGTGGGCCTTAAGAGCTGATCAGTTCTCTATGATTCCTAAGCTAGAGATTCTCGAACTCGGTCACAACATCCTCTATCGGGTAAACGCGAATGCCTTCAATGGAATACCGAAACTCAAGTTACTTGGCCTCCAAGGTAATGGCATCGAGGAGATACGGGAGAACACCTTCGATCCCCTCTTGGAGCTGGTGCATCTGGATTTAAGTGGGAACCTGATTGAAAAATTACCCAAAGATATATTTGCCAACAACACAAAGTTGGAAACCCTCCTCCTGAATGGAAATCACTTAACTACCCTGCTGTCGGATACTTTGATACCATTGACGAACCTGCGACTTCTGGATTTGGGACGTGCCGGTCAGTTGGATAACCTGATGCTAAATATTATCAATGTCCAGACCCTGGTACTGGAAGGCAGCAGCCTCACCGATTTGATAATCCAGGGCGGGTTTATCCGACTCAAGGCGTCCAACAACGAGCTTAGTCACCTCTATGTGGGCAACAAGTCATCCGTTATCGAAATGGACCTCCACGGGAATTTGTTGAATGGAAACGATACCTACAATCTGCTGCGTGGAATGTGGAGCCTTGAAAGACTGGATTTATCCAAAAATATAATAGAATCATTAGCTTTCAATGAGGCTTACAGTGAGCAGCAGGGCCTGTACATCCTGCCAAGCTTAAAGTACCTCAACATGGCCAACAATCGACTGGTTTCAATACCATCGGACTCGCCCATCCTGTCATCCCGCCTCACCTACTTGGATCTGTCCCACAATCTCCTCCTGACATTGGAAGTGGAGAAGCTGGCTGGCTTGCCAAACTTGGAGGTCTTGTACCTCGAGGGGAATCGATTGAGTGACTTCGACTACAAACAGTTTCATTCAAAGCATGAAACCCTGAAGGAGCTGGCCTTACAGGACAATCATTGGAGTCCTGGGTTGTATCGCAAAATGTTTATTTACCTCAATGATCGAGGGGTTCGCCTGCAGGCGAGGATCGAACATAAAGTCCAAATAAATGACAGTCAGGTGGACATAGACTGGCCGCCAAAGGAAGCGTCCGCCCAAAAACTGGACGCGGCCGGTGTGACGGGAATACATCCCTACTGGACTCTGAGGGATATCCTGGCCTTCGCCACCTTGCTGGTGGTGCTGGCCATCTTGCTGATGAATCTCTACCACATTCTGGAGGAGGAGGGCTGCCTTCGCCGATTTCGACGCTGGAGACGGTCCACCGTTCCCGGAGGTAATACCAGGACAAGCACTAGGCGACTCAACGAGCAGGACTCCGAAGTATGAGCCTTTTTAATAATCTGGCTAATTCGCTTATCCTTTCTTGGTTTTTCAAAACAGAACAGCTCCAGTGATTAGATGGAATATGTGATCTAAAGCTCCGAAAACTATTTGAAACTACACCTCCTACACCTACACCTCCTAAGGATAATAGAACAAATTTCAAAGCTCTTATTAATTCTAAAAGTATAGTCTTTCTAAACTGTACGCTGTGTTATTTGAAAACTTGTTTCTTATCAAGAACAACTATATTTGTTTATATTCAAGGTACTGATAGGAATTCCGCTTTATACAAAAGATAATGTGTAATACACTTGCTATTAAATAAATGTTAATTAATTAATAATATATAACAAATAAATATATAAGGGCATTTAAAGATTTTTAGAAAGTCTAAAATTTTATAAATGTCAGAATGTTTATTTTAGAAAAACAATTTTTCCCCATCTCCTCAAGATCTCAGAGCTTATCAATTAATTTGCATAAAGGACTTATTTTTTTTCTTTATAAAACCAAGCAAGAAATACCTGGCAAACAAGATGCATTTACAAGATTCGAACAAAATACGAATTTAATTCAAAATAATTGCACGGCATGCACATGAGGACATGTGGACTCCTCTCTGGCTGCTGTTGTTGCCGTTTTGCTTTTGGCCGCTAGTTAAGGCCAAGCTCCACTTGGAAGTTGGCTAAGACTACCAGGCAGTCCGAATGGCAGGAGGGGAGGACCAGGAAAGGGGCACCTAGTTGAACATCGAATTTTCCGCCTTCGTTGCTGGCACTTCTTGCATGTTACCCTCCTTGGTCGTGGATATGTGGCGTTTGCATTTGCGTAGACCTTGCCACAACTGCCATATAAGTGCAACACATCCGACTTGCTTCGCCCCCGCATCGCCGATCCAGTCCCTCTCTTCCTAAATGGTAGTGCACTATGAGAAATTCTTTATTACACATATAGGGTCTAGGAATATATTTAAATATTTGTGAAATAATCATATTAATTTTTGGGAATATCTAATGTCATATTCATCATGTCATGGATATGTATATATCTTATTATACATACTATTTTTTTTCAGTGCACCTATCAACGTGTTTCGGGTGGAAATTTTGCCCGTGTTTATGTTTGGGGGTCTCTCTGCTCGCTGGATTTCGATAGGGCATCGCAATTTCTGAGAAATTGTATTTTGATTTATTTATAATGTTGCAGCGACATGCACATGCATCACACAATAGCAGTTGTTATTGCTGTTGCAGCTTGTGGTGTTGGTGTTGGTTTTGTTATTGTTGCATTTTCGATTGTTGTTGTTACTGCTCTGGTGTGGTGTTTGTTGTTGTTATTATTACAGGGGCATGCGAATCAAATCATTTTGATTAAATTAGAAATATGCAAATTATGTGCAACTCATTAATGATGCGCCAATGATGATTTGGTCAAAATGATAAGCCAACAAGAGAGAGAGACGGAAAGAAAGTCTGTAAGAGAGACAGCAAGAGAGGGTATGAAGATAAAGGACATCATCGAATCGAAAGCGTCAGAAAACGCGCCACAAATCGCACTCGAAACGCGCGCAAAACGCTTGGCAATTAAATAAATTCACACCGCAAGCTGTGTGGGCGTGGCCAGGGACGCCCACCACCGCCCAAAAATTTCGCATTTGAAATGTAAAGCGCACGCGGCTTTTCTGTGAAAAATATTTCAACTATTTGTAAAAAAATCAAAATCGAAAGGCAATAAATGCAGTTTTATTCCTCAATTCTGGGGAGGTATGGAAAGGGGTGTTTAGAAGGGTATATCAGGAGGGTATATAAATTTTAATATATATTTTAAAAGCTAAAGACGCCTTCTAAAATTTAAATAATCACTGAGTAATAAATGAATAACTATTAAAGTAATATTTTAAAAACATGAATAAGAGACAATTTCCAGAAATAAAAGTATACATATTTACTTTGGATTTATATAAAATTATTTCATTATTAAGATTTAAAAAAATGACCTCTAATAAGTAACTATAATTCGTATCCTTTGCCCATTCTGACCATTTCTGATTGCAGTTGCCCACAAAGCATAACGCAAAGGACCCCTGAGAAGGCAATCCGAAACGACTTCGATTCCGGTTCGAATTCAAAGCCAATTCTGTGGCAAGTCTCTGACCACAACAATTTACCAATCGTTCACGCGTCCCAGGGGCCGGCAATTGGCGTTGCCATTGCGTGCATATCTCCAACGCCCCCCTTGTGCCACCCGCCCATGCCACCTCCAACCCTTTACCCCACCGCCTGCCCCTTGGCCATGGCCCACCCCCTATCGATGTGCATTCTCCCCCTTGGTATGTAGTTTTTTTTCATTTTTTTTTGGGTGGGCGTTACCGAGGAGGCTGTGCAAAGTGTAAATTTATGATCATGCGATTTTTATCGAATGTGAATGTGAAAAAGAGTACAACGTTTTTTGCACTTTATAAACAACAGCGGCAGCCAGCAAAAATAATACATGGAGAGGGCCAAAATCGGACTGGGCCGTCGGCCGAACGCATTATTATTAATACTCGCACGCCGTCTGTCATGTTTTGTATTTAGTCAATTTTTATGTGTGGTTTTATTGAGCGTTTTTTTAGCACTTTACGGTGCAAAGCCGCGGTCACACCCCCTTCGCCTTTTGCCTTTAGCCAGCTTGGCTTAGAGGGCCAGGTTACGGGTTGGTTTCTTCCTTTTCTTTTTTTTTCGATTTTTTTCTGATTTTTAGCCAATGCCGATCCATAAATCATGCGCCTTTTGGGGGTCGGCGTTTATCAAATTTTCGCACACTTGGCTCGAGACTGCGCCTGGCTGGAAAATGAGATTTTCCAAAAACGCTTTACGCGACACGCCCAAAGACAAAAGTGCAAGGAAAATCTTTAGATGAGGCCCAGACCCAGACTCAGATTCAGACTCCGTCCCAGACCCGCTGGCGTTTCCCAACCTTTCTGAGATCCGAGAACAGAGAACTCACGACAATGACACCACCGACCTGACACACAGTTTGTCAGTCAACCCGTCATTCAGTCATTCAGTTAGTCATTCAGACGGTTAGTCAGCTCACACGTGGCTAACTGGGGGAGTTGGGGGGCTTTGGCATTAATGCGATTATTTTTTGCACTTTTGGCAGAGTTAATAAAAATTACTTCCAAGCCAGTGAATGGCATACGTCGTGGAGCACTAAAGACACTTTAATGGCAATAGACAAAGGAAAACGCAAACCCAGGCCAGATCCAAACCGAAACCGAAGCAATAATTTTTCATATTTCCTCCAACCCCCTAAAAATTTGTTCACTTGAAAAAATATGATTTGAAACCTTGAGCTCTATTGTGAAGATATTTTGTAGATATTTTTAAAATGTATATTTTTAAATAATAGAACAAAGTCACAAAGTGAATGCTAAATATTTCTAAAATAAGATATACCTACATACTATAAATGAAATGTTTTATGAAATTATAAGCTTCATAAACTACAAACTCGCACTTATAAAAACCCATGTAAAACTTATATATTTATTCAATATTCCTGATCCTTAGACAAAATGATCCCGAAATAAATGAATCTCACAATCATAAATCAAATATTGTCATTACAGGATTTTCCCTCGGTGTACGTTTTCATATTTCACACCATGCTTAGGCGCGAATTTGTAGCACTAATCCGGGAAGCTGCCACTGGAGCGCAATTCCTTCGGCGGCTCATTAACAGGACCCAGCCCGAGCCATCCCCCACCCCCAGTCTGGTGAAAGCCAAAGCAAAATCAGGATCAGGAGCTGGCTGCGTGATGCCGTTAATCGCATTATTTACAGCAAACAGGATCAGTGGACTGACTCCGCTCAAAAGTCAAATGGCGACAAACCCTCCCACGGGGATATCCGTGACATATGTAAAGTGTAAGCTCGTCCAAGGACCAAGGATTCCGACCCTGGCAAAAGGACGAAAACCCGCTGGAGAGGGTGCTAAAGCGGCGGCGCGTGTCAGCGTGCGGTTCGTGTAATGAATATCCGCTTAGCCTCGCCGTTAGCCTTGGCTGGTGTCCTTCGGATGCTGCAGCTCATCCGCAAAGCTGGGTGGTGGAAAGTGCAACTTAGAGGACTCTGCGCTGGTCCTGCCACTCGGTGGTGGGTGTGGCGGCTTTGACGGGCGTGTGCGTATGGGAAATTGCCTAACTGACTGCCACAATATGCCCGTCCAAGCTATTTTCCTGTACTTCCCCTGACATCTAAGGGGGAGGCATTATAAATGAGCAATCAATGAATAGATGGATGGATGGGACAGTGTGAGAAATCAGGGCATAAAAAACCGTTTCCAAAAAGGACTCACTTGGCATCCACCCCAAGATTTCATAAACAGTTTTAACCTGATGTAATATAATCCTTTTAAAGCAAAATTTAATTGGCTTGCTGGGAACTCGAGGAAAATGATAAATGGAAATAGAATTTAAAATTATTTGAACGTTTTTGAACTTTTTTTTGAATAAAAACTTTGAAAGTTTTAATAATAAAAAAAAATAATACTCCAATTCAGAAAACTTCCTTTTTAGGTCGATCTTTGAAATTATATTTTCAAAACTTACCTTTGAAACACATATAATTTAATATCTTTCAGTAAAGCCCTTCAATGATCTTTTTATAAAATTATATCACAAAAAATTCCCGTAGTTTGATTGTTAAATATTTCTCAGCACGAACAATAAAACCTCATAAATCTCTATCAATTTTCATAACTTATCCTAAATCCCCGCAGCATTACTTCCAACCCTTAATCCCATATTTGTTATTTCCCTAGCCAGGACATAAGCCCTTGCACTTTAGTACTGTGAGAAGACAGTGGACATTAAAAGAAAAGGTTACACAGACAAGTCATCCGTTGATGACTTCGATCGAGTGAGAAGAACTTTTCACGCAGCTCTTACCGGGAAATGCCATAAAAATAAAACGTAAGCAGTGAAAAATCTCCGCGCCAGGTAATTAACGCGAACATAAAACCGATAGAGGAAAATGGTGAAGTGGGGGCCAGATTATGGGAGAGAGTAATGCCACTCCAGGGGAGTAATTAGTTCTTTCTCCACAGATAAGCAATCCCCATCCTCCGGCGCATCCACCGATAAGTGCTTGCAGTTCTTATGGCTGTTTAAAGCCTTTTCGTTGATTTTTATTCGACTGGATGCTCCGGCTGCTCGTTTCGTTGTCCATTAAGTGGACTCCAATCGGGCCAGGACAAATAATTTTTATGGCCCCCCAATAAAATGTTGAAGAAGCAATCAGTATCGCAGGAAAGTGATATGGAAAATACTCTGGAAAGCGGGAGGATTTTCTTTTTA